AGAGATATAGTATCAATACACAGAACCTATCTATATATATATATATATGATATATAAAGATAGGTTCTGTGTATTGATACTATATCTCTCTAAATAACACTTCATAACTTATATGTATTAAATAACCAGGAGACACGACAACAGCAACAGATTCTGATAGAAATTATAATCTCAAGTCAAGTCCCCACAGTCAGTGATGGTCTGGGACGCCATGTCAGCTGCTGGTGTTGGTCCACTGGGTTTTATCAAGGCCAGGGTCAATGCAGCTACCAGGAGATTATGGAGCACTTCATGCTTCCATTTGCTGATAAGCTTTATGGAGATGAAGATTTCATTTTTCAGCACCACCTGGCAGCTGCTCACAGAGCCAAAACCACTGGTAAATGGTTTACTGACCATCACTGGGCTCAATTGGCCTGCCAACCTCCTGACCTGAACCCCATAGAGGATCTGTGGGATATTGTGTAGATAAAGTTAGAGACTCAAGACCCAACACCGTGGATGAGCTAAAGGCTAAACGCTATGGAAGCATCCTGGGCCTCCATGACACCTCAGCAGTGCCACAGGCTGATTGCCTCCATGCCGCATTGAAGCAGTCATTTCTGCTAAAGGATTCCCCACCAAGTATTGAGTGCATAACTGTACAGAATTATTTAAAGGTTGACTTTTTTTGTATTAAGAACACTTTTCATTGGTCAGATGAAATCTGCTAATTTTGTGAGATAGGAAATTTGGGTTTGATGAGCTTTATGCCAAAATCATCCATATTAAGACAATAAAAGACCAGAAATATTTCAGTTAGTGTGCAATGAATCTAAAATATATAAATGTTCAAGTTTTATCATTACATTATAGAAAAAATAATGAACTTTATCATAATATGCTAATATTTTGAGAAGGACCTGTATATATTGCTGTCACACTAGTGACTGATCTGAGAGCTGCTTATAGAGCCAGGTGAACAGGTGAATCTGATAAAGGCTGATTGGTTCTGGGGTAGTAAACAGTAATTGTGTAATTCAGGTAAAACAATTCAATAGATATAAACAAAGCGCAAAGAAAATTAACAGTCAAACTACAAGTTTAAGTTGTTTTCCTAATTTTTACTCAAACTGGATGAGGAAATAGGAATATGAATAGGAAAAAGGATAGGAGAGATATGATCTCTCTTTTTCATTTTCATCAGAACTCTGGCTGCAGCATTTTGGATCAGCTGAAGGCTTTTAACTACAGTTTGTGGACTTCCTGATAGTAAAGAATTACAATAGTCCAGCCTTGAAGTAACAAATGCATGGACTAGT